ACAAATGAAAAACATGCAGATACACCCAAAATAGTAACTCAGGACAAATGGAATGACAGTGCTTTGGGAAAGATGAGATGTTTATGCTATACATAAAGTCAGTGCCCAGCTGTTGTAGGATAGATCACATGGTTATTTAGGGAACTTCTTAAAGTAGGATTGGCACATTCTGGAGAATTCTTATTTGTTTTCTCTGCTTGACATATGGATGTAAATTTTCCATTGGTTACATACGACATAGTTCAAAGTTAAGTTTATCTAGACTTACATCAACTCTTAACAAAGGTAGCCGTCCTGTATCTGGGCGGGAGAGAAAAGTTGTATTATGTATTTTATTATATCTTCCACACTAGCCATTGAAAGGTAAAGATAAATTTTCTCGCTTGGGAGAATTAGTTTTCCTGAGTATACGGCTTTATGGAATCAGCTAGTATCAATAGAAGGAAGTACCAGTGATCATCATGAAGACACCACGATCACTAGTACATGAAATCTCCTTCACAGTTCCATCAAGGCAGCCAGGCTATTACAAACAACTCTCTCAAGGCAAATATTCGTATTTTTTTTTCAAAAGTTGAAATTAATCCTAGATGAACTCAGAAATGTAATTGATGTTTCTTAAATGGGTTAACTTGTCTTTATTGCTATTAGCTGGTATTTACTATGTCATAAAATTTTCAAATTGGGAAGAAAGAATAGTAAGCAACAAGTCATTAGCAAGAAATAATATGAGGATCAAATAACCTGAAAACTCGTCCTGTGTAACTGCATTCTTCTCATGCTTTTCACTCTTACATGTGTGTCTCTGAAAAATACATTTGCAAATGGTTCCATTATCTGTCCTGTGCTTTTTCTAAATCTCTTTTTACTGAACAGTATTTGTGAAGTGTGCTATGTTACGTACCTTCTTCCCTCCTCAGTACTGACACAGAAAAGTGGTGCGGAGGATGGGGGTGGCGGGGGCGGGGGTGGTCTGCCACGGTTCTTCCAGACTCTGTGCACGGACTGCCTTTGTGACCGAGTCTCGGATCCCACTGTCACCCTGTGAATGTGTGTTTTTGTGCTGGGGTAAGATTTTATTGATGTCTATTCTGAAATTAAAGCTAAAGTACATGTACTGCACTAAATATAATATGCACCATGGTACTTTTACTGAACACAAATTAAAGCTGCCTCCCAGTTCTTACATAAAATGACATAAACCTGGCTGGGTTTGCCTTGACTTATTGAATTGAAGTGATGGAGAAACAAAGACATTAACAAAATACTGTTTCTAGTTGCTGGTGTTTAACTATTTGGCATTTTTTTGTCCTTTGAGAATGATTTGGCATGGTTTCATTGTACTGCACTAGCCAAGAGACTGTTTCCTTTTCAGAAGTGTTAAAATGCTAGTGTTAGTCTCTTATCAATAGCATTTGGTGTAAAGATTTTAAAAGTTACTGGAGTTATATGTAGGTTTGGTGTTTTCTTATTTTTTTAAACTTACGATTAAACACAGAAATATCTCAGTCTTTCAAATACGATTGTTAATGCCATTTTTTAAAGTGTTGTTCTTACTTACCTTGCTTGTGATCAGAATCGCTGTGGTGCATGACGACAGACAGTAAAGAGATCAGAGAGGAAACAGCATTAGAACAAGTTGTAATGGGTGCCACAGAAAGCAACAGAAAAAAAGTACTTTGGCTTTGGCGACCACAGCTGCCTCCAAATACACAAATAATCTGGCGCTTATTTTAAAATAAATTTCAGTACTGCTAATATAAGTTTCTAATTTTAAGATATATGTAAAATGGGACTCTGTCTTGTCTCCAAAGCAGCCATCTAAAATCTACACCTCTGTGATTAGATGAGTTATCACTGGGAAGTTATCATACAAAAAGGAGCCATTTTTCTCCAAAGATGTTATAAGCTAGAAAGCCATGACCTTCTTAAAGACAAGACACCATGTGCTGGGAAAAAAAATAGTGTAAGAAAAGATAATCACCAAGTTAGACATAAATCTGGCAGGTTAGACTTAACTATTGTGTGAAGAGTTATCAGGGAATAGTGGTATTATGAAGCCAGAATGAGCTTGAATTCTGGCATAACAAATATTCTCATCTCCATGTCTGCTGTACTTACATCTCAGAAATACAGTGTTTCTTCATAAGAAACATTGAGAGTTATTTTTCTCCAGGGAGTAAGAAAGATAATGCCCTGCTAACTAGTGTAAGTTTGTATTCTGATAATAAGAAGTCGCTAAGTAGATCCTGGCTTAGGGATGTATTAAGACTATTTCTGGTATGGAGTCTGTGGGGTGTTTCATAAGCATAGAGCTTGTATATGTAATAGTTGGGAGAAATTTCTCCTTACTAAGGAAAGAGAGTTTTCTGAGATGGCAGTAAATAGATTTTGCTATTTATCTAGCATTAAATGAGCAAAATCTGTTTATTGACTGTAAGCTAAAGTGGAATATTAAGTCTCAAGGAGCAAAGCACTTCTTTCACATTTTCACATTTGACTGTCCCAGGGAAAACAAGAAAAAACTAGAAATTGTTTTGAAAACTCTGGTTCATTCAAGCTACCGTTTGAACTGAGATGCTATTCCCAAAGTAAGGGGTAATTTACTTGAATGGCTTCTTTTGAATGTTATTCACTCATTTATTAGTTAATCAAATATACATCAAGTACCTGCAATGAGCCAAGCACTATACTAGATGTTTGGGAAATGTTGGTAAACAAAATCAGAGAAAGGCCTTTGATTTTGTGGAATTTTAAGATGTTCTGAGATACTGGATCATATGTTCTAGTACAGTCATCTTACTTATTAAAACTTAAGAGCTCTTGGCCAGAGTGGCTCATTTGGTTGGAGCATCATCCCGTATCCAAACGGTTGCGGGTTTGATTCCCGATCAGGGCACCTACCTACATTGTGAGCTTGATCCCTGTTCTGGGTGAGTATGGGATGCAACTGCCTAATTGATAATTCTCTCTCCCTTCCTCACTCCCATTTGCTCTAAAAAGCAATAAAAAATGTTCTCAAGTGAGATTTTAAAAAAGTTTTTTAATTAAGAATGATTTTGTGAAGCAAACATATAGCCAAAAGCAACAAAAATTTAGATGTTATATAAAATATACACGATTTCAAAGAAATGGCATTTAAAGCAGTTTTGGGAGGGCTAAAGGTATTATTTTTTAGGACCTTCTAAGATGAGTTTATATAGCTCTTAAATGAAACTGACTCCGCTTCCGAGTTCTGGTGAGTTAACTTCAGGTTGTGTTTCTCATACTGAGCAATTAAACATCTAATACGACCAGTTGAAGAAAAGAACCATACTTAAACAGTTTTAAACTTATGTTTTAAGTTTATATTCAGCATACAAAGAATCTATAAATGTACCTAAAATGTACCTTTGACAGAAAGCTGTCAAATACCTATTCTGTATTTCTTAGTGCTGTTATAACACCTTATTACCCTGGTGTTAGAGTCGGTTTACAGCCTTTCTCCATTTCTTGTACCTGAATGAAGTAGTTCTTGATATTCTTTTGCTATTATGACTGCTTGTTGGACTCACTTCCTAGTAGACTCTTCACTGACTTTTTGGAGAGGCAGCAAGGGGCAAGTCTAGGGCTCACGGAGGCCTGGGGTCGGGTTCAGGATCCAGAGTAGAAACAAAAGACCCAACCTTTGCCCCTTTTTAATAACTGACGATTTCTAATCCTTCTCATCTGAAAACACACATACCTTCCCTGGTCTTCTAGTAAATCACACCCTTTTCATGTGTAACTATAAAACATACCTTTCCTCCAAAGCCTTTGTTTTAAATGCCACCTAACACATTAATGGGGTAATTTCTTATACCACCTGGTCTATGATTTACATATTTACTCATTTTACTATGAGGATTAGCAGGTGACATTAGGATGATTACCCCAGCTCCCCAAATCCCACAAAAATAAAACAATCACGTTATATCACAAATATAATTCAGTTTTTCACCATTTGGGATTATTCATCCATGTGGTTGCCCTGCACTGATGTCAGGCTTTATCTGAGTGTGTGCATATGCACAGCTCAAGCTGACTACTTGCAAGACTTAACAGTGTAAGTGTGTGCATATGCACAGCTCAAGCTGACTACTTGCAAGACTTAACAGTGTAAGTCATTTATGCTTCACCAGAGACAAGATCTGAGCTAATATGCAGGTAACTGGATATCCAATCCACAGTGTGCACCGTGTGGTAGTTAGGAAGGAAAGGACGTGGGACTAAGTTCGTATTACAGCCCACTCTTGGGTCTCAGCTTCATCTGTGAAAGAACTGGATTAGATTCAAAATTTCTGCTGTCTCTTTCAGTTCCAAAATGTCAGCAATGCAGACAGATTAGCACTGATGGCCTGCTACAACAAAGAAAATTACTTTGTGACAAATAGTTTTGGTAGTTGGAACTGGACAGCTGTGGTGTTCGTGTACCTTCTCTGTGGTGAGAAAACCAGACCCTAACCCTAAACTTGGGGACCAGGGGTTTCGCACATTGGAAGCAAATGCCACTCCCACACCCATGAACCAATCTGGGGCTGCAGTGTACCAGCTGGTCCTACTCAGACCCTAATGTGGCAGTAGTAGGTTCAGCTCCCTAAACAAATGTCAAGGCTTTGTGGAAAGGACCTCTCTTTAAAGGAGGTTTTAGAACCACTCCTAGCAAAGGACATGTTTAATGATTCAATTCAACTGATATGTACTGAGTACTTCCTAACTGTAAAGGGATAGTGTCAGCTTGTAGGGAAATACATGCCTGCCCATCCTCTCACCTTCAAGGATTCAAGGATTAAGCTCACACAGGATTCTCACCTGAATCACTATGGTAACCACACCCAACACCATGCGTGATGCCTGGCTCACAGTAGGCATTAGAAGTGGATCTGAACCAACTGAACATGGTCCCCATGTTCAGTGAAGTTCCCAGCCCCATGATATAAAAGAAAACCTTAGCTGTTTTTCAAAAATTTCATTTTCACAGGTTTTGTTTTTTTGATACATGTATTTATTATGCCATAAAAAGCAACACTACATGATTTCATTTAAAATAAATATTTCCTGGTTTCAAAATACTTACAACTTAGAGTTTTAAGATTAGATTCACTTTGGGATGTTCTGGTGGCAAATACATTCATAGCTGTACAATCCCCAGGAAGAATCTAAATCCAACATTGGGTCATTCAATCCCTGCCAGACATACGACATCATCAAATGGTCAATAGGGACAGCTCATCCAGCTCTGCAGGCCGAGGGCAGAGGGGCAGCATGAGATACAGCACGTTACACCCAAAGATGAGATCGTTGGAACTGAGAGCAGCGAAAACAGCAATGTGTATGAAACTTGAAATAAACATGACCACATACAGCTTTCATGATACAGAAAAAAAGCACTAAAGCCAAAACAAAAAGATCTTTGGAGTATACAGATGGCAGCAGTTAACAGCACAGTCAAAAGCATTTAAACAAATGTGTTCATTATCGTCAGCCAACAGCGAACGGCCAGAGCTGGAACCAGTGTACAATCACAAATAACCTTCTGGGTGAATAAGGGCACATTTAACTAAACTACAAAGATTTTACAAAACAGTCTTAATCTGAGAAAAGATGAAAACTAGCATAGTTCCAAAATTATAGTCAGAACCTCATTTTATTATAGAAAAGCTTCAAAATCATTGGTAATGATTAAGCTGCACAATTGAACCATCTTAATGTTACATTTTAATCACACAAAGTAAGCTGCTAGTTGAGCCAAGTTATTTCAGTTGATTTCAATTCAAGTGTATCTACCCCATAATACCTTGGGGGATATCTTTGTTCTTCTGCAGTATTTTGCAAATGCTACCTATCTACATGGCTTGGCATAGATTCATGGGGCAGGAGCACAGCAGCTGGGCTGGACGCCCACCCACCTTATTCCCACAGAAGCACACACAGGAGCGGCTTCGGGCCTGATGCAGCCCAGGTAAGGAACACTGGCCATGGCTCCAGTAAAGGAGGTACTGTCTGTGGAATAGGAGGGCAACGGCCGAGCGGCTGACTTAGACTAGAAGCAAAAATCGACACTTGAAGGCTGCTAGACTGGGAAAGGGGCCATGAGGCACAATAAAGCTCGGAAGCAGCAGTGTGAGGGAAAAAAAAAGGATTTGCTGTATTAATGTAACATAACATTCATGGGGTTGAGGTTTCTGCTCATTTCACTAAACACAGCTTCAAAGAAGCTCATTTGTGTGTGTGTTGTGTGTGCACGCACATGTGCACACTTAACATCAGAAATTCTCATTAACATACCCTTTTACCTCTGAGGTATGATAAAGTGTATGTGCAGTTCCTCCTCAAAACAAACACTGGGTCTCAATTTAAAATGAAATGAATGGCATTTTCTTATTATTAAATGATCGAGTCCACCAAAAATCATACACTAGAGAATCAGGAGAAAACTGGAGTGATCTAGTGGTCCCCAAATACAACAAATATATTGATGCAGTTTAATGACAGGTTTAAAAAAACAAATGTTACTTGTAGCAGTTCCAATACCATTATAATAACTTTGGTAACTTAGAGCACTTCTGAATTGATCCTGGAAGCTGAAAAATACCTTTTTAAAGAGCTGTAGTAGCACATCCCTTCTTTAGGCTGATAAATTTGGCTACTTTGTACTTAGTAATTTGTCTCTGTTTCATCTCCTATAGAGAAATGGCATAGTTACAGCTTAGATGCCAAATACATGAGGAATTTTCTGACTTACTATGGGAAACATGAAAACTGCATAGATGCCAGCATCCATTTTCCCAGCTAAAGGAAAGAGGCAAACAGCTCAGTGTCTGGGAAGAGAGGCTGGACAAAGGGGACATAGAAAAAGAAAATTTCTTCAAAAGTATTATAACTACATTCACAAATATGTTTTGGTCACCAAATATATCTTAAACAGATTCCCTGATAAAGTCTAATCAGAATTGGTCTATCCTGCTAACAGCTGTTAACTATTATAAGTTTTAAAGTCACATCATGAAGCTAGAGTGATGGGAGGCATTTTAAGCACACAACCATAAGTGCATATAGTTGTTCAAACACTCAAACTAAATCTATATTTGAAGTCATGAAAATCACGCTACTTTGCTTCTAAAGGCAGCCTTGACCCACTTGGACAGGCTGCGTGACAGAGCTTAATTTACAGAGGCGTATCAGCAGCTCACCACCGTGAACTGAAAACTCACAAAACACAAAAGGAAATCATGAAAACCTCACAGTTCGGCTAGCACTGGTAACTATTTCATTTACATCAAATTATACAATGCACGAGGTAAATATCGCTCACATTATGGAGGGAGATTGTTTTATTTCTATTTTTCCCAAAGAGATCAGATTTGTCCTGTGCGTACAATGAAGCAAAACTCCAGTAACACTGAAATGACAAATGTAAAATATACATCACTACCAGAAAGAAATACACACATTCTTCGTAATCATTTTCCACAATTAAATAGGTAAGCGATTTAAATCTGGGGGGTTAAGATCATTACAAGAGTCCATCAAGATTCTTATGGACGGTCTGGTTTTCCTTTCCATCGTCAGAGTCTCCTTGAGGGGTATACTGGACTTGGTATTCCTGGAGGATTTTAAACACGTCGTGGTGTCCAAAGTGCAGCGCTTCATCCATGGGAGTGTTGTTCCACCTGCACAGGTAGCACAGCACGGACGGGGTCATTAGGTAATTTCTGTGCAATCCCTGGAGCAGTAGGTAATTAGGTAAAGATGTAACCCAGCATTCTTGGGTTCCCAATGCAGGCTGAAGGGCCATTCAAATTTAGCCATTTTATCAGCGATGTAAGTAAAAATTAATTGAAATACAGAAAGGGATTTATAATTCAGAAAGTGATCTCAGCTGACTTTGAGATATGAGGAGGAAGAGAAAAATATGTTCTACAGGAGGATCTTGTTCACATGCCTAAGTGCTTATGGAAGGGAAGTTCTAGTGTTGGCAGATAAATAGACTCCTCCAGATTCCTGAATTGTGACTTCATGAAGAGCTGGAAGAACCTCTCTTTAAATAAAATGGCTGAAGAAAATTCAGGTATATACCATTCACCACCCTAGCCTTTGACAGAAAATTTGTGCTCCTATCACAGTAAATCTCAGGGGTCTGGAAATAACTACAACCTCATCAGAGCTCAAATACGCATTGCAGGAGCCAGCTCAAGCCCAGAGGAACGGACACTTGCATCATCTCTGGTAAAGAGGGGAATCCAGGGGCTCAGCTGCCCAAGCAGAAGCACAGCTACCCTTTCCATCCTGTGCTTCTGGGCTGTATTCCTTCAGCCGATATAGACGAAGACAGAAGACATGAAGAGTTGCCAGCAGTGGTTAATCGGCTGATTAGCCTCTTGAAAAAGGAGATGAGACTACAAAACCCAACCCAAGTAAATGACAAGAGTATGATAATTAGTTCCCAAATACTTCCCAAACTATTAAGCCTCTCTTCCCATCCTCTTTACTTCTGTCACTTCTCCTTGGCTACTGGGTGCTCTGACTCTCATGGGCCACTCACCACCTTCTGGTTTTCCTTTTGGTATTTCCATTTCTGTCGTTACCCTTCTACCTTCTTAAAGAGGCCACAGTATGGATCCAGAAGGTTTTATACACCGTTTCATTTGAAAAATACTTTTGGATAAACTTTGGTAACCTGTTCTTAATTTTTTAAATCAGGTAAGTAACATTTCACATGTACTTTTTTAAAAAGCCGAATTAAGTTGCTTTTTACTTCTGTGAATCAGCCTTTAATTTAGGGAGTCAGTGGCCTTAAATGGGGAGGTGGGGGGACTTTTCAATCCAGCACACACTTACGTCTTTCTGGAAAAAAATATTGAATGTTAACTCCAAGTTACCTTCTTTGCAACTCTTTTTTTCTGTGAAATAATGCAAAATACTAACTAGAATACACTAAATTCACTCAAGCGTATTTTACAATTTGAGGTGACACTGATTCGATGCAATAGAGGAAAGAACTGTCTTGGTCTAACTTACGTTCTTGAATAGGTGAATGTCTAGTTATTTACTTTACTAACTTTTTCTATCAGATGGGTACTTCTACTTCCACATTCCAAGTGGCTAGTTAGGGTAAAAACAAAATGTTTCAATCATTAAATATTCAAAATACAGTAAATACTTCCACATGTGTGAAATAATGTTTGAGGCGGGATTATAAACACAGGTGAGGAAAAAACACTTCAGTTTCTTGCTCTGGAAAGAGCTGGTATGGGCATTACATTTGGGGATGCAAGGGCGGAGGGCTGTTACCCTAACACGAGGTTTAGAATACTGCCAACAAAAGTTATGATCTTAGATAACTAAAGTGTCACCACACTTATAAAACTGCTAACAATTTTTAGACACTGACATAGCTTGTCTGCTTTTCTTGCAATCTGAACTAATAAAAGTCAAACCTCTAGTTAAAAAAAAAACTAAAAAAATAATCAGCATGCTCCAAACTTAACACAGTCCTCAATTATCCAATCCAAACTTATTAATATCAAATTTCTCCAAGTATTTCTTTCCTTCTGTTCTTCCTAAACTTTTATTCTCATGCATTCATGGATTAAATGCTCCAATTAAAAGACATAGGGTAGCTGAATGGACAAGAAAACAAGACCTATATATATGCTGTCTACAAGGGACCCACCTCAAACCCAAAAACACAGACTGAAAGTAAAGGGATGGAAGAAGATACTTTATGCAAATGGAAAGGACAGACAAAAGCTGGGGAAGCAGTACTTCCATCAGACAAAGTAGACTTTAAAACAAAGGCTAAAATAAAAGACAAAAAGGACACTAAATAATGTGAGAAATTTAACGAGAGAATATAACCCCTGTAAACACTTATGCACCCAGCACTGGAGCCCATAAATATATAGAGATAATCCGCCATGTGCAAGTATGTGAGTATAGATTTCCACTACATACATAAGCCTCACTCTTACCCTTCCCTTGTCCACTGTGTGGACAGCATTTACTGCAGGATGAATGGCAGTTTGCCACCTGGACCAAGAGGGAAAGCAGAGCAAAATATATTCCAGGCCAGGATCTCCCACTAAAGACCAAGAGCCCTTTCTTCCACACCTTCAAACCGCGTCTCCTCCCCAAAGCACTGATTAAAACCTAACTTCCGTGAGGCCTTCTAAAAGTGACGCCAACCAAATCCAGGAATTTCAAGAAAATCCAGTATATTCATTCACTTCAGAGTTCTATAACGGTCATATTCACGTACACTTTACATATGGTCCTATAACTGTCAATCTTGTCTACCCTGTGTAGTTAAAAGTCCCATGAAAACAAAATTCTGATTCTTTCCAAATGCAAATTGTTTTCTTCATAGTGTACTGACTGACAGTCACACTAACTTGAAGAATTCTGGATAAAACACCATCCTTAGACGAGAAATAGGATATGGGAGAGAGAACAGCTTCCCTAGCAAAAACAAGGTTTTGTTGTTGCCTTTGTGAGGAACCACACCAAATTCAAGAATGTCTCCAATATATACACAGTGGATTTCAATACACCATCACTTAACTATCACACCCCTGAATAATAAAACCCTGGCTTGCCAGTGATATGTTAGAAGGTAACATTGGTGCTCACCTATCCTTGGGGAAAGGATTTACTTTGCAGGCTTCCAGCAAAAATTTAACAACTTCAACATGACCTATGTCCAAAACAAAACGAGCAGATTTTAGTACCGAGTAGAAATTAAGTCTGAAAAAAAGAAATAGATGAGTGGTTCGTGTAATTACCCTCTGCAGCAGCTACGTGGAGTGCTGTTCTAGAATCATAGTCTCGCTGTTCCATGTCCATGGCTGACAAAGCAAATCTGAAAATTTGGAAGCATAGCTATTCATTTTATATGTACGCACACAAAATTCATATGCATAACGTTTAAACCATCAGTTCAGGCTAAGTGAGACAGGTGCCGCCCTTCACAAGGCTCACTGACGGAAACTGCAGCCCCTGTTCCACCAGCACACAGCATCTCGGGCACACACTTCCCTTCTCTTCCTCAGCTTTGCTCTCTTTGGGTAAGAGGGCATGTTCGCCATCTCACAGAATTAAGCTTCATTATATTATTGTTCAAAACTCAAGAATAGTGCTACAACTGTATCAAAGTTTGTGCTTCAGCAGGGCACGTAACTAATACCTATACTGAAGCTGTGTTTTCACTAAGACTCCCATTCTTGAATGTTTTACAGTCTACAGTTCACAAGTACTAATCAGACTTTATTTTTGTAAAATGTCTTTGAGAGCAAATTTTTATTGAGATATAACTGATATATAACATGTAAGTTTAAGGTGTATGATGTGTTGATTTGATACATTTATATATTACAATGTGATTATCGACAAAGTGTTAGCTGACACTTCTATCAACCACATAATTACCACTGGGTTTTCTTTTTGTGGTGAGAACAATTAAGGTCTCTTAGCAACTTTGAAGTTTGTAACACAGTATTGTTAATACAAGTACTAATCAGACTTTAAAACAAAGGAGGAAATGAAGCACAGACATTTTTTCACATTAAAGTTCAGTTGCAAGTCTTTACAAAAGACTTCATGTTAAATACACGGTACTACGCGATCTTTCTAACTGGTGATTTGTAGAACACCAAATGCCCTATTTGCACATCACCCCCCTGCCCCAGAGATGGGGAGGGGAGGGGAGATGGGGGTTGAGAAGGCATCTGAACAGTTATCACTTAGGAAAACAGGGAGGAGGGGGGCTGGGCTTTGATAGGAAGTAGAAAAGAATAGGACTGCATGGCAAGCCTACCACACTGGAAGTGGAAATTTAATATAAATTTGTCTGAGTCATTCTGTCAGAGGGAAATGTGAGTGAGATTTTAGCTTTAACATGGTCATTTGCCCAGAAGCAACTTCATAAACATCTTTAAACCATACGCTATTCCACCCCGTTAACATACCTTCGAAGTGCAGACACATCTCCAGTATACGCAGCAAACAAAAGGTTTATCACTGACTTTACCTGTAAAGAAAAGAAAGTTCAGGCTTCCATAGTAGAAAATAAATACATAGAATGTAAATCCTCACTGATAAGCAATTCCATGTGCTTTGAACGTTTCAGCTGGTTACACAGAAGGTTATCACAAGTGCACAAATTGAAGGCATATATGTGTTATTTTTCTTTTTCCAACAGAAGATTATGAAGGGAAATTCAACAATAAAGATAAGACGCACAAGGGAAGGAATGAAATGATACCAATTTGTCCAAAAGAATGGAAAGTTGTAACCTGTGACACACACAGTTGGGGCAACTAAAGTTTGTTTAGAACCTTTCTCATCCAGTGTGTTTCAGTGCTGTGATGTTACTATTAAAAACTAAATCATGCTACATAAACATCTGATCCCTATCCGCCATCACCGTCCTCCCCAATCTCTGGCCTTGGAAATCTTGAGAGACAACATTCAGTATTAACCATCTCAAACTTGAGAGGAGGGCTGTATTTCACCGGGAAGACAGTCTTCTCTCCTAAGCCCAGGCAGCATGAGTTGGGGCATTCTCAGAGCCCAAGGCACTGCCTCTGCTTAGAAGGTGAGTAACCTCCTGAAATACTACGGCACTGCTATTGAGCGCTCCAAGACTTCAACATGTATCTTTTCACAATTATCTACTCTGTTATCCTTATAACAAGGAAAAAGCGAGTTTATCCTAAAGCCACTGAATTTTGGTCTGCTTTCATAAAGACTTTTTATCCAGTAATTTTTGAGAAACTAAATTATTGAGCATACACTGTTCATGAATCCTTCATAAATTCCCACTTTTATCTTATACTTTGCAACTTCAACAATTGATATTGCACTTAATAGAAGAAAGGGGAAGTTTAATTGGAGGGGTGCAAAGTAACCCAGCTAGCCTGGCTGGGTAGTTCAGTTGGTTAATGTCATCCTAATACACCAAGGTTGTGGGTTTGATCCCTGGTCAGGGCACATGCAAGAATCAAGCAATGAATGCATAAATGGAGCAAGGGGTAGATGTTACTCTTCCCCTCCCACTTCCTCTCCCTCTCCAAAAAAAAAAACAAAACAAAAACAAACCAGAACCCAGCGATCCACAAACAAAGCCACAGCCCTGGGAGCTGCTTTTGAGATTTTAACCCGGACGTTCCTCCTTTTCCACTATGGCTTCCCTTTCCCACCACCTGTGAACTTTTAAACCAAACTGAAACTAACCACCGCTGGGCTTCTCTACTTCAGCATTTTCAAAACGTGTTCTACGGAAAGGAGACCACAAACACTCCACAAGCAAAAGGGTCCTGGGGGACGGAGGATGGGGAGAGGTGGGCAAAGGAGGGGGGGAATGGGGGCATCTGCATTAGTGTCAACAGTAAAAATAAGGGGGGAACAGGGTCCTGTGGTCAGGTGTTTTTAAAATATTAAGTCCCCCTTCTTGGGGATTCATGAGCATATGAAAGACTCTGTAAAGTTCTGCAGTTTAGGAACCTAGCTACCTGAGCACACCTCCAAATTTTTAATTTTACTACTGCTTACTATTATTATTGATATCACTAAAAACAAACAAAAAAAAACCCTTTTTATTCCTTCAGTCCATTAACTTTCCTCCTGGCTACCCGGTACTACGTCTCTGTAGCCAGTCAATGTCCTGCAAACCCTGACAGTTTTCTTGGGGGGGGGTGGGTGGAGGTGTGTGGAGGGGAGCTTAATGGAATGAACCAGAATGTTCTGAAAGTATACATATGCATCTCCCCGCCCATTTCTACATTTACAAGAAACCAGTTTTTTGAAAAGTCTCCAAGTGATTTTGAAATGCACTCTGCTGGGTTACGGACCACTGGTCCAGGTGCCCTTAACTTTTTTTAAATGGGATCAATTTGCAACTCTCAATTCCCTTTATATTCTTACACCCCCCTTTAAAAAAAAAACTGATGGGCCATTACACATTATTCTCCTATTCCAAGTGCTTGACAATTTTTTCTTGGTTCCCTTTCACACTTTTCTCAGAAAGTTAATACCCAGGCTGACACCTAGAACAGGTGACCCTGCCCACAGTTTTACTGATAACAAACTGTTCTCACCTCTCCCTCCTGCTATGCTAAATACCTGCTTCTTAGACCTACTTTCCCTTCCTTCCCCACAAACCTCAAAGCAAAAATTATCTATCTTTCCTCACTTCTGAGACATACTTCTTTCCTATTTCCTCAGACCTGTGTCCCCCAGACCCCCGAAATCTGCTCCTTCATTTACCCCTTGTTTCTAGTACCTTCGACTTTTCCCTCCTCCACTGGTTCCCTCATCTCTGCCTTGACGTCACAACTTCATCCTATTTTGAAAAACAACACACAATCCTGTTGTTACCACTTCCAGTACCTGTTTTCTGAAAGTAGTTTGTATTTTTAATTCCCTGAATATTAACTTCATACCCACTATCACCTCTAAATAGTACCTTCAAAAGCTCTGGCAGCTGTCCTAAAGCCTGATTATTTCTGACCTCTCACTCCTAGTCTTCCGTGATGCTGGTCAACTGGATCCTCCTCCTGTCCGTTGCTTTACAGTCATTTCCCACTTTCCACGCCTGGTAATACTCCGAAGGTAGTCTCCATCCTTCGTGTTTTCCAACATAATTCCTTCCATGATTTTATACATTCCTTTGTGCAGAATGACTGCACTCTACATCTTTAAATCTTTGTTTGTAAATTTTAACCCTACAGCTCCACTTGCTTGTCATGCTGTCATTTCAAACTTAAAAAATAGCAAACTTCTCTGCAGCCCTGATGGCTCCCCACCTGGGTTCCAAAAATCCTAATCAGTCTGCCTACTTCACGTTGCCTCTGGGATGTTTAACAGGCATCTCAAACTTATGCCCAAATGAGAACTCAATTCCACCAATTTCCCTCCATTCCCCACCCAACCTTAGCTCCTCTCCCTGTCCCCCTCACTTTGGAATGACACTACAATTCACCCAGTAGCCCAGGGCAATAACTGAGTTACCATCCAAGGCTGCTGCACTCGACTGCACAGGCTGAGCCCTGCACAAGGAGACGTGCCCAACCCAGGCTGCTGGTTCCCTGCTGTGTGGTCCGGAACCCAGGTCCCTCTGATGGGAGAAAGGGAGCCTCCACACAAATGTGCTGAGAGGGTCTGCTTATTCGGGGTGGGGGTGGGGGGCCAGAATTCTTTTTTCTTAGTCGCAAACCCACCATATAGACCCTGGAGGTATTCCTCAATTCTATTTCTCACAACCCACACCTAGCTCATCAACAAATGTGTTCTACCTCCCAAAGACATTTAGAATCCCACCACTTCTCACCCTCTCCAATACTGCTGCCCTAGGCTCAGAGCTACAGATTTATGTCACCTCAGGGATGGCAACAGACTCCTAACTACAGTCATGCACTGCCTGATGTTTTGGTTAACCAACAGACTTCGTATATATACCACGGTGGTGTACCACAGAGCCGAGGTGTGTAGTAGACCATACCACCTAGGGCTATGTAAGTGCACTTGATGATACTTGTGCCAATGACACATATCTCAGAACATATCCCATCATTCAGTGGCATGTGACTGTATTCCTCTTGTTTAACTCTGCTCCGTAGTGATCTTTTGAAAATACAGATCTTGGCACTCCCAGTGACTTTCCAACATACCTAGAATAAAATTCGAACTCTCTACCACAGCTTTCGGGACACTACATGCTCTACTCCCTGGTTACACTGTCTCTCTCATTTCCTACCACTCTGCCCCTTGCTCTACCCCAGCCAGGCAGCCACTGGGCAACTGAGGCTGCACCTGCTGCGCTGCTGCTGGGGATGCTTTCCCAGGTAGTGAAGGGCCTCTCTTGCTCACTTCATTCAGGTCTTTACTCAGATGTTATCTCACAAGACTGAAACACGGCCCTCTTTTTCATCACTCCTGATCGCCTACCTTGCTTTTTCTCTTTAGAGCACTTATCATTGCCTATTTGTTTCTTGTCTCTTTCCCCATGAAATGTAAGCTTCATTTGGGCAGAGACTGCCTTTTTCTTCCCAACAATAAGCCCCGTGCCTCCCACACATAATAGGTGCTCATTAAATGTGTTGACTCAAAATGATACAAAAAATGTGTTGACTCAAATGAACACACTGTACCCCTTAAACTTGGTTATGTTGATTACATCTCAATTTTTTAAGTGTTCACTAAATGAGTATTTTCTCCCAAAGCATCAAACATTCAAATTGTTACCACCATTTGGGGATTAAATTATAATAATTATTTATTCTTCTATTTCCCTTCATTTTACTTCTTCAAATAGTGTTACAAATTTATTCAATTCCCCTAACTGGTGCCCTGCTTCTAGTCTTCCTTCCACCTTCACAAAACATTGCTCTGATCACTAAAGGTTCCTCAGCAAGAGTATCAAAAAAAAAAAAATCCCCAAATAATTCCTGATAAAATTTAAATTCTTTAGCCTGGCACTCAAGGCTCTTGAGTCTACCAACTCACTGTTTTCTCTCTCAACCTCAACAGAGGAAAACTGGTCTTACCACTACCCTTATTTTTATCTTAGTGTCTACGCTCCTGTCTCTCCTGGGTACACACCGATTCCTAATCAACTCTCTCCATTCCCTCAATGGCTAGTGTGTGTGCCTCAGAAAGCCCTTCTTGGTGGCCACACTTCCTCATGCATCTCCTCCAGCAGCAGCATCCACGTAGCTTGCTGCCAGCTGCCCATGTGGTGCTCTGTGACAGCACGTGGTGAGGAGTCCTCAGTTACACACCTTCTTTCCCACCACAACCCTAAACGTACCTGCTGCTCCTCCCAAGCCATAGCACATACTATTTATTCCCTGAAAACGTCTTTTCTGCACCCATTTTTCACTGCAATGTCATTCTCAACCCTTCCTCTGTGAACTCTAATCTCAAATTGGAAGTCATCTCTTCCTCTGACCTTGGCTTCACCAGCACACACGATACATTGACTTGTGTCCCTTATCTCCCCGACTACTCAAGAGAAATCCAGAATTCTGA